TGCCGTCAACCCGAAAAAGAGTGCCTGTCCTTTGGCGCTTGATGGCCGTCCAACTAAATTAACTTGCGGTTACGTGATTGAACATCAAATACGTTTTGGCGTGACTGTATGATGTCGCGAACGGCGTCAAGCCTGAAACGGATAATGGCAAAAATTAGAGCTACTAATTCAATAAACTAATTTCGTCACGAGTAAAGGCATCTCCATCAAAAGTGAATTAATTTGCATGTAAATTGGAAGCTGTGAAAGAAAAGATTGGTGCTTCGGCATAAGCGGAGAACATCCAAAACATTTAATTATGCAGATTGTCAGAGTGCACGAACGCTGCGCCTCAAACTTTCTATGTAGATCGCAAGGATAAATCGCAAACACTTTTAATTATAATAGCGTCGTTATCGCCTGCCCTCGTCAACACATAATTCGTTTCATTGTGAGATGTACATTAAGTTACAACAAAAAGCTTTTCTACATCGTTGAAGCAGTATAATAAACTAAAATTCGATTACAAGTTAAAACGCATATCCGCTTTAATGGTCGAAGTAAACTAGGACGCGGCTTTATAGTTTAACATTACCACCACATCGTGGTGGTAAATAGCGATTGTAAACTTTCGTCAGAGACAGTTCCCTAAGAGAAAGAGAGTTAGAAAGAATGCAGAAAGGATGCAAACGTGCGCTTTCAAGACGTAGTATGTACCTACTGGTGTGATGTAAATTTGTCACACTATGGAGACAAGAATCATTCAAAATTCATAGTAATAATCATTTTGTTCTCACTTAATTTATTTCGATTCTTCCGCACGTGACTGTGCAGCATTATTATTGCTATAGACATTGTTTTGCAAAATTGTCAAATTCTGGATAGCAAATTCTGCAAATTCATTATACAGTACGCACAAATAGAAGATAAATGACCGTGGCGAAAATTTTTCTCCTCTAGTTTAATTTCCATATCTGACATTTTAAAATACCGCGAACTTTCTCTCTCTCTCTCTCTCTCTCTCCCGATCATATTGACGTTAATGGATCTATCGATTTTGTGTGCGCGTGCGAAAGTTGCAAATTATAATTCAATTGTAATAATGTACGACGAGAAAATTAGCAATATTGACTAATTGCACTTATGATGTGCAGCTGCAAATTATTAGATGCATACGATAGGTATGTTTCGATAAAATATCTGCGGTATTTTAGTTAAATGCCAGATCTAAATAGCACTGTTCAAAATTTCAATGTAATAATTATATATTATAT